GAAAACAAGGCGTCCCCACGGTCATTTGCAAGATGTGATTCCCTCGAAGTGTGACCTGGGGTGCTTTCACGAGATGTTGATGGAAGTACTGTTGGAGCAAGTGTCCATCATACCCTCGGTAGTTGTGAGCAATGACCAACCGTCGTCATCATCAATGGTAGGAGAAATGTCGTCTTCGATCGTCTTGTTCTTTGTCGTTGTTGTCTTGTTCTACATCATCATCATCGGGTTCTGGTGATGACAGTTTGGAGTTGTTTCGAGAGGCGCGGCCTGACGGCTGCTGCTGGGATGCCTTACGTTTCTTCTTCTGCTTCTCTTTCTTTTCCATGGCGCATCAGCCAGTCGCCCATGTCCTTCAACGTCGTAGATCCCTGAAACACTTTGATGCGGCTAGGCCCTTCTCCTTCCTTACGCCAGGGACACTTGTCACACAACTGATCCGAGGCCTCGGAAATACATTTTCCACATCCTAGATGCACCACACACAAGTTGGGAACATGAGTTCCTTGATCTTGAGTACATTCAAAGTCATAGAAGATGAACTGACGCTGTTGCCGTTCTTTGTCTTCATCCATTTTTTTCACCGTCTTCATTTTGTTTCGGTGGTTCGATGACGGACATGTAACACTGGTGGTTGGGTTTCAAAGGTTCTTTGCAGATCTTGCAGTCCCAATTCGTGCCACACTGGTGGTTGGCCATGCCCTGGATTTTTCTCACGTTGACTTTGGCCAGACATCGATGACACGTATGGATGGTGGAGCAGGTACTGGGATGCTTGGCGGAGGCCGTCCGATGGCGTTCAAAGCAGGTAGGGTTTCGGAACCACCCGCCACATTGGAGACAGGAGAGCCCTTCATTGTTCACGTCGCCACAGTATCCAAGACATTGACACCAGTGACATTGAAATTCTCGGGTGCAACGATGATCTTCAGCGTGGTCGTAGCCTTGGTCACAAGTTTCACAATAGTAACTATACCCTGTGAAGGCAGTCATGGAGGTAATGACATCGTAATGGTGATGGTGATGATAGAGGTGAAGGATCTTGGTGGGTTGAGGCACTTCACTCTTGTACAGGAGGCGATTCAACACATCTTGGGAGTAGACTTTGAGCTGATAGTAAGGGGCCAAACGTTGACTGAACAACTCCCACGTGGCACGCCCTGTACAAGGCCCTTCGGGGATCTTGAGTTGGCGAAATAAACCCTTGGCAGCCTTCAACTGCGCTGGTCTTTCTTCCTTACGTATGTATTTCCATTCCTTCGTCCATTCCTTGGTCACAGGATCGGGTTTGTGTGAATGGTGACTGGCCACAACCAGGGCACGGGCAAAGCAGAGCTGATCCTCATTCTTGATTTGAACGATGCATTGTTTCTTTTCCAGGAAAGCGTTTAAGCCAACGAGGTGCCTTGGCCGGCCGTGTCCCTCACCTATACGATCAGGATCCTCTACATGCAGTAAGAAAATGTCCATGGTGTCATCGATATGCAAATCGTGGTTGCTTTGCTGTACTTTTTCCACTTGGGCCATGATGTGTTCCCCCTGGAGGTCCTCCATGCGCTGAAATGGGATTCGGATGTCTGAATCCAGGGCTGGGTGTTCCAGGGCCAATCCCACGCGATCACCATCCTGTCCGCCCACATCGTCTCTCAAATCTGCTAACACGGCATCAAACTGTTCTCTGAGAACGACGGGAAGGTCTTCAGGCTGTTGACGCTGCAGCCAAGCTGGATTGAACTTCAGGTTGTAGCGCTGGGTACCAGTCCGGAATTTCTTGGTTGTTCTTTGGGTCGTCCGCTCCAACTCGTAGGGCACAGGCTCCTCTTCAAGTTCATCTTCGTTCATTCGTGGTGACGGCATGGTGAGAACTGGTAAGACCCACGCTGAGACTGGTTTATATAGGTCACGTCACCCTATGACGTCACAATAGGCTGTCCTAAGCGTAGCAGTGCGCACCATGAGCTCATGTGTTATTTATAGGAATGATGTCATACCCCATGACGTCACACTAGCCTGTTGAGTCAGGATGAGAGTGGTGCGAACCGGATGCAACCGGTGCGAACCGGATGCGTCAAAGTGACGTCATCAACCCCAGCTATATAAATTCAAGGTTTTCCAGCACTCCTCATCAGTTGCTCACTGAAACTGGAAGCATGCAGTCGTCTCCCGCCTCCGCCTCCGCCTCCTTCCGTTGCCGCCTGTGCGAAACAGATGACCACAGTTATCTACACTGTCCCAAGGTGACCTGTACCGAGTGTGGTGCTCAAGGTCATCGCTATTACGTATGTCCCAAGAAGACCAAGGACAACAACAAGCACGATAACAACACCTGCTACAACTGTGGAAAAAACGAAGGTCATCTCAGTTACGTCTGTCCACATCCCTGTCGTCACTGTGGTCAAGAGGACCATAAGAGTATGAACTGCTCTAACAAGGGCCAGAAACGTCCGGCATCCACCTACCAGCCAAGTGAACCGCCAAAGAAAGTGAGTAAACGTGAAAGCCAACATCTACTGGCTCTACTCCATGACAAGGTCCTCCTCGTTCAAGATCGCATAGACACCATGTACTCTCTACTTCAACGCATCTTGGAGTTTGTCGAACCCATGGACGATTCCAGCAGCACTGCCTCCAGTGCACCACCATCACCACAATAGATACCTCGGTGATCTCTCACCCACCCATACCAACGGCCCTTTTCAGGGCCACCCACCTCGCTCGAAAGAAGGCTACATCCAATGTGTTTTAACCACACACACACACACACACACACACACACACACACACACACACTTGTCTAGCCACGCCATCGTCCGCCTCACCCCTCTCTCCCTCTCCTTCCTCTCCTTCCCTCCTCCTTCCCTTCCTTCCCTCTCCGTCCTTGTCCCGTCCGCCGCTCGTCCGTTCCGCCATCTTGAAAGGCGTCTACGCTCGCGAGATCCCGCGAGAGTCCACGAGATCCCGCGAGATCTCACGCGATCCCACCGGATGGGACGCCATCTTGAAACGCGTCCGCCATCTTGGCCCGGAGGTGACGTCATCGTCATGCGCGCGCAACCACCGGAACCGGACGTGACGTCATCGCGATGCGTGCGCACACACCGGAACCGGAAGCACCGGAACCGGAACCCGAGTGATCTTGATATGTATACATCGGCTCACCGGTTTGGGTATGGTGAAAGAACCATATTGATCCAAGATGGCGGCGCCCATGGGGACCGGATGTGCCGCCATCTTATAAAAAGTGGGCCAGGGTAAACGTTGCACACTAACAATCTGATTATTATTACCCCGGATAACCCAAGCTGCCTGTGAGGTGCTTAGAAGGTTAATAGTCACATGACTTACCCCACCGGGCACCCATTTTCTGCTGGGTGAACAGAGGCAGTTTTGAACAAACTCACTTGCCTAATGTGAGAACACATGGATCACATGTAATAGAAAATTGTGGTGTCCGTGGGCATTTACTTAGTTGGTTAACAAAGTGTTAACTGATAGACGACAGAGTGTTTCCATCAATGGTACATTATCAAAAGAATTAAATGTTACTGCAGGGGTGCCTCAAGGATCTGTCCTTGGTCCATTTTTGTTCCTTGTGTACATCAATGATTTACCTGAAACTCTAACAAATGTCACAAGACTATTCGCCGACGACACTTCAATTAGTGTTGCAGGAAAAGATGTAAGAAACATAGAAGCTATTCTTAACTATTTTGCAAAATTGATTGCTAAAAGCGGGGTAAAACAATACTCACTCACTCACTCAGTCACGATATCACCAAACAAACCAAAACATTTTTCTGTCGAAATAAACGTTTGGTGGTGCCTGCATATTCATTATTTTGTCATCGTTTTGGCGTCGGATAACACGGAGTATTTGCATAGATCCCTTCAGAAACTCTAACAAATGTCACAAGACTGTTTGCCGACGTGTCGGTGGAAAAGATGTAAAAACCATAGAAGCTAACTATGATTTGGATGAATGTGTTGTAAATGGTTAGTTACGTTTAACCCGAATAAGATAAAATTCATGCTTTTTAAGAATGGAAATTGTCCACAAGTTCCTGACTTGATTTTCAACATTGAACATTTGGAACGTGTACATGAACGTAAACACCTCGGTGTCATCTTTTCAGATAATACAAAATGGTCTCATCATGTATCTGCTGTAATAGAAAAGGCCTAAATTTTTTTTCCTCACTACGGACGCTAATGTATGTATTGCCTAGATATAGCCTTTCTAGTATGTGTGAAATGTATATTAGGCCTATTTTAGATATGCATCGGAGGCCTGGGATAATTGCCCTAGCTTTATTTGTGATAAATTTAAATGTTACAAATTGAAGCAGCAAGAATTGTAACCGGCCGCGGATCCGGCTTGCCTAAATTCGCTTCAAGATATAGTTTATACAGTGAAACTGGTTGGTTACCATTGAAAGTTAAACGAACACAAAGCAAACTCTGTACATTCTACAAAATTGTTAATATGCAAGCTCCCGATTACCTGATAAAAATTAATTCTACCTTTTAATGACACCATTTCCGGATACAACTTGTGCAAACCAATCAGATTTGGCTATTCCTAAATTTCGCACCTCAATTCTCTAAAAGTCATTTATTTATGGTTATGGAATGCTCTCTCCTCTACAACAAAATGTACAAATTCATTACCATCGTTTACATCAAAATTATCTGAAAAAAATATTTTCTGTTTCGTGTAGTTCATTACATGCAGATCTTTTTCGTCTTAAGGAGTGAGTGAGTTCAGTTTTACGCCGCACTCAGCAATATTCCAGCTATATTGTGGCGGTCTGTAAATAATCGAGTCTGGGCCAGACAATCCAATGATCAACAGCATGAGCATCGATCTGCGCAACTGAGATACGATGACATTTGTCAACCAAGATTAGCGAGCCTGACCATCCGATCCCGCTAGTCGGCTTTTACGACAGGCATGGGTTACTGAAGATCAATTCTAACCCGGGCTGAAACATGAACGACAATCACATCAATCACATATATTTGATATGCATTTGCCACAAATTTCACTTTCATTCTCAAGAGTTACTAATATTGAAATGTTACTTTAATTATCCTTCACATGAGCGGATCCAGGAATTTTGAAAGGAGGGGCTTCAGGGGGTTCGAACTCTCTGAACCCCCCATTGGCTATGCCAAAGCCAAAAAAAATTTTCAATGTCATCTTAAGTCATTTTCAAAAGGGGGGTTGGGGGTTGCAGGGGCGCGAAACACCCACCCTCCCTTTTGTCCTGAAAGTTTATTAAATGACCATTTTGAAAATGAACTGTGCACACCCTCTTTCTCAAAAAGCTTATCCGCCCGACACCGTCATACAGCTGGGATATTGCTGAGTGCGGCGTTAAAATAAACTCACTCACTTACGTAGAAGACTGTCTATGGAGCTGTCATAGTCGAAGTATAAAAAGTCATTTCTGAAAAGTCTGACCACTCTATCAAGTATGTCACGTGGTACAGAGGCGTAGGCCTGTCTCAGGTAGGATCGTCTCTGTGCGGAAGACTTCTGTTTTGTCAACATGGCGTCACGATAGGATCTGAACATCAGCTGCTTTAGTTTGTCTCTAGTCAGAGTCTCTGAAAACTCCGCTTCTAAAAGTACCTCTGAGCCGGGAGTAAGGTAGCCATTGATCTGAAACGTCTTCCATAACCTTCCAGCCAACTGCTTCCGGGTGAGACACTCGTCACGTGGGTGATAGTTCCAGTCTGTAAGTATTGTCAACTCGTCTTGCACATGATCTGTGTGAGAGTGGTTATGTAGTAAGTGCCCAAGGCCGAATCTTTCTAGTATATAACGAGAATCTCGCGAGAATGTCTCCTGCGTGGCCACTATATCCGGTTTGAATGCGCATGGGTTGCAGGAATGCTCTATCGGACGCCAATGGCCGTTCAAAGACACGGCATTGTGTTCACCGACACGAACAACATGCTCAAGGAATTCAGCGAAGGAGACGTCGTGCCCGCACCTCAGACTTATAGAAGATACAATCTCTCGACGGGAGACTATAGTTTTGCCAGCGCTGGACCAGTAGTCAGGGAGATACAGTTTATCTATGTAAGCGGAGAACAATCGAGTAAATGGGTTCCTAGCAACCATGAAACGTGTTGTTGCCATGACAACACGTCTGTCCTCCTCATTCTGAAGTCTGTACATCTTGATCTTCCTGGGTCCCCCATGAGCTTCAGTTCTCGTCATCTGGAATGGGTTGTCAAGGATACGCCCCATGGTATCGTTATGTAGGAACCGGAACACGCGGATCCAAAACGTACAGCCAGCCTTAGCTACCACACCATAGGACATGTTGCGGTAGACGAGGATGTTTTCTGTCCACGCTGTTCCCTTCCTGCCCTCACATAGCTGCTGCAAGCGACGTCGTCGTGTTACGTAAATAGAAGGGTCGCTTTCAACCACGTCGGTGTGTAGCATCTAAACAAAATATGACATGAGTTGATCAGAACAGTAACCTTGAAACCATAGATTGCCTTTTATACCTAGTTAACATACCGAACCACGGCATATTACGACCATCTGTCTCTAGAATGAATCATTAGGTGCCTGCGTTGTTATATAACGATTTGGCGTTTGTTAAACAACTTTTTAATTCGGGTGTCCAACATTATGAGACAAATCGTCAGAGTTTGTCTGTCGATTGTACCTGTCAACTGGGGAGACATGCACATACCTGTGTATGGTCAACTTGGGTGACATGTACATACCTGTGTATGGTCAACTTGGGTGACATGTACATACCTGTGTATGGTCAACTTGGGTAAAATGTACATACCTGTGTATGGTCAACTTGGGTGACATGTACATACCTGTGTATGGTCAACTTGGGTGACATGTACATACCTGTGTATGGTCAACTGGGGAGACATGTACATACCTGTGTATGGTCAATTTAGGTAAAATGTACATACCTGTGTATGGTCAACTTGGGTGACGTGTACATACCTGTGTATGGTCAACTGGGGAGACATGTACATACCTGTGTATGGTCAACTGGGGTGACATGTACATACCTGTGTATGGTCAACTTGGGTAAAATGTACATACCAGTGTATGGTCAACTTGGGTGACATGTACATACCTGTGTATGGTCAACTTGGGTGACATGTACATACCTGTGTATGGTCAACTGGGGAGACATGTACATACCTGTGTATGGTCAATTTAGGTAAAATGTACATACCTGTGTATGGTCAACTTGGGTGACATGTACATACCTGTGTATGGTCAACTGGGGAGACATGTACATACCTGTGTATGGTCAACTGGGGTGACATGTACATACCTGTGTATGGTCAACTTGGGTGACATGTACATACCTGTGTATGGTCAACTTGGGTGACATGTACATACCTGTGTATGGTCAACTTGGGTGACATGTACATACCTGTGTATGATCAACTGGGGAGACATGTACATACCTGTGTATGGTCAACTTGGGTGACATGTACATACCTGTGTATGGTCAACTTGGGTGAAATGTACATACCTGTGTATGGTCAACTGGGGAGACGTGTACATACCTGTGTATGGTCGACTTTGGTGACATGTACATACCTGTGTATGGTCAACATGGGTGACATGTACATACCTGTGTATGGTCAACTTGGGTGACATGTACATACCTGTGTATGATCAACTGGGGTGACATGTACATACCTGTGTATGGTCAACTTGGGTGACATGTACATACCTGTGTATGGTCAACATGGGTGACATGTACATACCTGTGTATGGTCAACTTGGGTGACATGTACATACCTGTGTATGGTCAACATGGGTGACATGTACATACCTGTGTATGGTCAACTTGGGTGACATGTACATACCTGTGTATGGTCAACATGGGTGACATGTACATACCTGTGTATGGTCAACTTGGGTGACATGTACATACCTGTGTATGGTCAACATGGGTGACATGTACATACCTGTGTATGGTCAACATGGGTGACATGTACATACCTGTGTATGGTCAACATGGGTGACATGTACATACCTGTGTATGGTCAACTTGGGTGACATGTACATACCTGTGTATGGTCAACATGGGTGACATGTACATACCTGTCTATGGTCAACTTGGGTGACGTGTACATACCTGTGTATGGTCAACTGGGGAGACATGTACATACCTGTGTATGGTCAACATGGGTGACATGTACATACCTGTGTATGGTCAACATGGGTGACATGTACATACCTGTGTATGGTCAACTTGGGTGACATGTACATACCTGTGTATGGTCAACATGGGTGACATGTACATACCTGTCTATGGTCAACTTGGGTGACGTGTACATACCTGTGTATGGTCAACTGGGGAGACATGTATGGTCAACTTGGGTGACATGTACATACCTGTGTAATGTCAGCTTGGGTGACATGTACATACCTGTGTATGGTCAACTTGGGTGACATGTACATACCTGTGTATGGTCAACTGGGGTGACATGTACATACCTGTGTATGGTCAACTTGGGTGACGTGTACATACCTGTGTATGGTCAACTGGGGAGACATGTATGGTCAACTTGGGTGACATGTACATACCTGTGTAATGTCAACTTGGGTGACATGTACATACCTGTGTATGGTCAACTTGGGTGACATGTACATACCTGTGTATGGTCAACTGGGGTGACATGTACATACCTGTGTATGGTCAACTTGGGTGACATGTACATACCTGTGTATGGTCAACTTGGGTGACGTGTACATACCTGTGTATGGTCAACTGGGGAGACATGTATGGTCAACTTGGGTGACATGTACGTACCTGTGTATGGTCAACATGGGTGACATGTACATACCTGTGTATGGTCAACTTGGGTGACATGTACATACCTGTGTATGGTCAACATGGGTGACATGTACATACCTGTGTATGGTCAACTTGGGTGACATGTACATACCTGTGTATGGTCAACATGGGTGACATGTACATACCTGTGTATGGTCAACATGGGTGACATGTACATACCTGTGTATGGTCAACATGGGTGACATGTACATACCTGTGTATGGTCAACTTGGGTGACATGTACATACCTGTGTATGGTCAACATGGGTGACATGTACATACCTGTCTATGGTCAACTTGGGTGACGATGTACATACCTGTGTATGGTCAACATGGGTGACATGTACATACCTGTGTATGGTCAACATGGGTGACATGTACATACCTGTGTATGGTCAACATGGGTGACATGTACATACCTGTGTATGGTCAACTTGGGTGACACGTACATACCTGTGTATGGTCAACATGGGTGACATGTACATACCTGTCTATGGTCAACTTGGGTGACGTGTACATACCTGTGTATGGTCAACTGGGGAGACATGTATGGTCAACTTGGGTGACATGTACATACCTGTGTAATGTCAGCTTGGGTGACATGTACATACCTGTGTATGGTCAACTTGGGTGACATGTACATACCTGTGTATGGTCAACTGGGGTGACATGTACATACCTGTGTATGGTCAACTTGGGTGACATGTACATACCTGTGTATGGTCAACTGGGGAGACATGTATGGTCAACTTGGGTGACATGTACATACCTGTGTAATGTCAACTTGGGTGACATGTACATACCTGTGTATGGTCAACTTGGGTGACATGTACATACCTGTGTATGGTCAACTGGGGTGACATGTACATACCTGTGTATGGTCAACTTGGGTGACATGTACATACCTGTGTATGGTCAACTTGGGTGACGTGTACATACCTGTGTATGGTCAACTGGGGAGACATGTATGGTCAACTTGGGTGACATGTACGTACCTGTGTATGGTCAACTTGGGTGACATGTACATACCTGGGTATGGTCAACTTGGGTGACATGTACATACCTGTGTATGGTCAACTGGGATGACATGTACATACCTGTGTATGGTCATCTAGAGAAAGATGCACATACCTGTGTTTCACCAACTGGGAAACATCTGTACACTTACTCCTTAACAATGTGTGGCATGGTACGTTTTGAGGTCGTCATAATTTCAAATGTTTGATATTTGCAACGCCAGAAATATCGAGACATTGCTTGCTCACTTATCTAAGCAAAGCAGACATTAAACGGGTAACATTTATCTACTGTTTACCTGTGGTACACTGGCTCTGTCATCACGCGTTGACTTCCGGGGCGCCTTTTGGCCTGGGAGGTAATGAAAAAAACATAACACACATCATTGTCCAATATTCCTATCAGATCACTCGCGCTTGCTATCCCATCCATCACCCGCTCAACCCACCCCTTCCCCTACTCCCTCACTCACCCTCTCAGAAGGGCTCGACCTGGCACAGCGTTATGCGGCTGTCGCATCATTACATATTTAAAGCCAGAGTTCTTACAATAAGAGGTGGGGCGGTGGGGTAGCCTTAAAGTTAAAGCGTTTGCTCGTCACGCCGAAGACCCGGGTTCGATTCCCCACATGGGTACAATTTGTGAGGCCCATTTCTGGTGTCCCCCGCCGTGATATTGCTGGAATATTGCTAAAAGCGACGTAAAACCATACTCACTCACTACAATAAGAGGTGGGCGTGGTGGGCGAGCTGCCTAAGGCGCCAGGCTAGTGATCCAGCAAGCTTGAGGTGCCGGGATCGAGTTCACCTGTGACCGGGTGTAAAAACCTTGGAGTCAACTTTGTGTGCAGACTCTTTCAGTGTTGTCACAACCCCTAGTGTACAGTACACAACCCTGTGCACTTAAAAGAACCAACGAATCTGTAAATGACCAGATAGGTGCAAACACTTGGACAAAGTACTGTGACTATGTGTCCCAGTCCACCCATCTGTGAATGGGTACCTCGTAAGGATGGGAAAGCCATGTTAACTCGGTGCGTCTAGTGGCAGCAAGAGTTGTATGATCCTCAGGGAGTTGAGATTGACAATGCGATGTGCCGTTTGAGATTGCAATCCAATGATCGAGTGAAAAACAAAGCGCCTTTGAGCGGCTGAACGGGATATTGGCGCTATGCAAATATTAGCATAATAATAGTCAATGCGCAGCAGCAGTTGCCAGCCTATGTAAAACTATAAGAGATACTATCGGAGTTTATGGACATCTATGGTGCGCCTGTTAAAATAATTCAGTGCTACAGATATGATAAACTCGTGTTAAAGTAATACTGATAAAAATTAGTCCATTTATATTGCGCTAAAACCACACTGACAGCATGCTCATGCGCAGTCAGTTCATTATTACCATTTTCTTCGTGTAATATAGATCTGTATTTATGAACATGAATTACAACAGTATCGGCCGATATCACCAAGGGGAGGTGGGGTAGCCTAGTGGTTAAAGCGTTCGCTCGTCACCCCGAAGACCCGGGTTCGATTCCCCACATGGGTACAATGTGTGAAGCCCATTTCTGGTGTCCCCGCCGTGATATTGCTGGAATATAATTGCTAAAAGCGACCTAAAGCCATACTCACTGACTCATCAAACACCATTGTGTCGAACTTGTTTTGTTTTCAAAATAACGTTTGATGCAGGTATATTCATTATTTTGTCATCGTTTGGGGGTGGTGTCGAACCTTGGATAACTCGAAGTATTTGCGTAGATCCCTTCAGCTTCGACGCCACGGTGTTTAACGGTATATTAGGCCCCTGGTCTAGAAGCCAGATCCCCCAAATAGTGAAAATGTGGTGCAGTTCTGGCGACCGAATGGAATGTGATTTTTCACAATCACGAATGATTTGGCTTTGATTTAAAGCCGGTTGTCATCAGCTACCATGCGTGACTACCGTACAGAGGCCCTTTTAAGGTGCAACATGTCATGTCAGTTATGGCAATATTTTAACCGATAACTGGATGGTTTAATTTAATAACTCTGGTTTGGTTTGACCGATTTTCATAACAAAAATAGTTTTTTAATGATCAGACCATGATTTAAAATTGTGGACAATAATATTACATATATGCTCATCGCAAAAATATTTTGGTAAGGTCAAAGGTCAGTTTTAATAGAAAGGGCATTTGATGAGAAAATGTGAGTTGAACTTTACAAATTAAAGGTAGTTTTTCCCAAATTATGTGTTTCTGATTCAGCTATATCATTTGAAGATCATATAAACCTTTGGTTGGCATTGTATTCATGAAAAACCATTACAAGGAAATAAAGGTTGGTACTTTGTATTTAGATCAGCAAAACATAAGATAATTTCAGCTCCATGCTTTACAAAGTATCAACAATACTAAATATGTCGAAGATACTGTTGAACTATCATACAAATTTGCGTTTATTGACATTCTAGCAGAAACAACAATTCAGCTGATGTCAGAAGGAGATATGTTTTGATAAGTGTCAGTATTGCACTGACATGCCGTGAAACCCTTAAAGCTGATGGATAATAATATGACATCCTAATGGAAGGTTTACAATTGACATTATGGTGTTCCATTTTTTCTGTTTACAATGTGAAATATTACGACTTTGGTTTTCTTTCTTTATTTTACACCGGCAATCATTGATACATTGTAAAAGATATGACACACTCATCAGAAAGGCGTTATGGTATCTTACCACCAAATATACACACAGTCATGTCATCATAACACAAGCAACATTACCTTCATATCAATTCGTATTTATTGTTCTTAATAGTCATAGTGTATTCCCAGTTGACATGTTAGTCAATGTCAACATTGTCAAGATCACGGGAACATGTTTCATGTCCACATCCACATGCCGAAGCACACAACAGGTTCAACCTCTTGCAGCTACTCCTTCCTGTACATTGGCGTTTATATGCACAGATATGTTGAAGAAGGTCCACGGAAACGATTTAGTCTTAACTTATTTGCAACCTTATCACAGAGGAACAGAGGAATATTTGATGAAGATCTATTACGACATAAACGTACTGCTTTAAATACAAAACATTAAGTGCCTGCTTTTATGGACAACTCAAAGGAATTCCCAGACAATATTCATATAAACGTCTTGCTTCTACTGTAACGTACATACAAATATGCATACCTTGGTTTTAGTAATATGTAATGATATACACAAAAGAGTTACACATAGCATGGTCATGACACTATGAGCATCGATCTTCACAAGTGGGATACGATAGCATGCATCAAACAAGTAAGTGAGAACGACCACCCGATCACATTAGTTCGCTCTTACAACATGGGTTGCTGAAGATCAATTTTGACCCAATTAACATATTTGTGAACCTGCCAGAATGGTTAATAAATAAATGCATAGTCAGTCTCATGATATCTATTGTATATCATTCCAAGTGCTATTACTGACAACAGAATGTATGTCGCCAATATCTTTTCTGGTCTCTGCATAAGTCGTACCTCAGAGAGCCAATTGTCAAGCTGCATTTAATTAATATCAGCTGTTCCGTACACGCACAGAAGTTGGTATATACGTTGACAGACGCTTTAGAATTATATTTTGCGCGGAAAACTTTGAATCGTCTATACATATTGACAGTATTGAGTTACCTCGTCTAGATGGATACTAAACGACCAACTGTCGTTCCTTTCCCGATTTCCATATGTCGCATGACTACGTTGTCCTTCAAGCAGAGAGTGAATGAACTGACAATAGTTATCGTATCATGGAATTGGCTCACGTCAATCACTGTCTTCATCAGCTGACGCACGTCGACAGTACAACGTCAGCTCTAACATATTGACAGACCTCACCCAGATGAACATTACCAAGTCGGCTGTAGTCAACTGCATTGTTCCAACAGCTGTGATCAGCAGAGTGTGTTTCAAATGCTTGCCCAGATCTATATATTTAGTTTCCGAATGCTAATATTACTAGGATTAAGGTTTTTAAATGCGTTTCCCTCCTTGTAAGAACCATATTCGCTCTGTATCGCTGGGACCTTACACATGCCAGTAGTCTGTCTCATACTCCAAACTTTCGGCCCAGCCCCTTCTGTAATGCAATGGTCCAAAATGAAGCCAGTCTAGTTCTGAGTCTCCGAACTCACTGGGGCTAATTCAGTATATACGGAGTTATATATTGCTATCAAAATTTCCTATTTTCAGAGGCTTCCGCTTGGTATAACGTGCCAGGATCCTGTAATTATGGACCCAAACATGATGCCGGGCATGCTTATTTTGTTTTCAAGACCATATCTATGTTTCTGAATTTCTCCCACATTAAACAAACTGTTGTTAGATCCAACATTAAACTTGCACGCTGTGTAGCCTTTTTATGGCATTGGGTTTTGTGCGTGCGTTTGTTTATTATTTTCTTTGTTGCATTTGTATGGGCTGGGGCTATTCAAGATGAAATCCACCTAAGTAGGATTAATTGATTATATTTATTCATGGGTACATTTTCATAATGTTTGCACTGTAAACTGATCAACATGTGGATGCTTGATGGGCATTTAGAAGTTGGAAGATAACATAACAACGTATGGTATGGATTTACAACTTCTTTATTATTTACAACACAACGTTTCTAGGCTGCTTCTTAGTAGCCTAGAAACGTTGTGTATTTATGATAATGAATATTTGCTTGATATTGTATGGAATATGGAAAGGTTAATCCAAGTACATTGTATGTACTTGGCTTGTGCGATCTCTTAATCAGGATGATTATTTTCTTCAATTATCCATGGGGTAGTGGAGATAGAGGAAAGATGGGAGGTATATGTTCAAGGCGTTAATGCGTTGATACGTCCAGACATACAGATAACCTGCAGCGTTGCTTGAAATACTAAACCAATACATTTGAAAAAAAGCTTACCTAAAAGAACTTTGAAATGTAAAACAACACTGTGTGAAAGTACCTGTGAGTAATGCAGCTTTAAGCAGGTTTCGATCACAAGTATTTTTACAGATGTTTTGTTTTTGATTGAATGCATGAATCATGAATCAAGAACAGCGCTGTATAATGCATGGATGCGAAACATGTTGCAAACTGTAATTTTGTCAGTGAACTCCCAATAAACCAGGAGAGGGTAATAACATATTGCATAGCCTAAACAACTATCAAACCTCAATGTGAATAACACAATGTGAACCCAGATTTTCTGTGACCATTTTGTTTTAGTACTGGTAACATGAGCATATATAATGTGTTCAAATACATACCCTTGATATCCGGAATGATGCACAAGGTTTTAAGCCATGAAAACATTTGAAAACTTGCAAATTTACAAATGTTTTC